GATTCATAGGGTTGCACTTCCCTACATACACTGTGTTCTCCTCAGCTCCATCTGAGCAGCTCCACCATGCAGCAGAAATGTTTATTGTTTTTTATATTGATTTCTATGCGATTTTAGCCTAGAAGACATGTCAGCATAGATGGGACTTCCTCTGGAGAACCGTGTCTAGTTTGGGGCACCAAAGTTCTGGAAAGGTATTGGTCAAAAAGTGGCAGAAGGCATCTAGGAGATTGCTGTTAAATATCAAAAATCTGGAATGGGCACCCGGGCTGAAGGATTGAATGACTGTGGTGGCTTAGGCTGGAGAAGACAACTGCAGTGGGAAGACGGGTCTTCAGCTGCAGAGGCCTCCTGCAAGGAGGGGGTAAGGAAATAGTTTCAATGCCACTGGCATATAGAGCAGGACAATAAAATGGTAGTCAGGGAGGTTTAACTGTGGGAAGTTTCAAGCGTGGTTATGGATTTCCTCTGAAGGCTTCATTTTTGGAGGTCCTGGAGAACGAGAGATGGGCAAATGCTTGTTAAGGATAATCTGTATGTAGTTGATCTTGCTTAATATGTTATTGATCCTCCTTTTGGGTGTGCTTCCATGTTGAAATATCTTTGAAGGAAGTATTGCAGAATTGCTGCAGTAGTGTGAAACTCATGCCACTCCCTCCTGTGAAAGTCCACATATTTCAAATAAATTGCCTCACATTTTCTGGATTACTTTTCTATACACACGCCGTACAGGCTGATTTTGCTGCTCAGATGTTTTCTGTGCTCATTGCTCATAGATAAATAGATAACCAAAGGCTCCTATGCCTTGAACTGCTGCAGCATTTGGCTGGTTTAGTTGTTGTAACGTGGAGGGAGTTGTTCCTCGTGCCGTGGATGCGGATGTGCAGTGTCCAGGCCCTGCGTTTGCAGCGGGCACGTGCACCGTCGTGGTGGAGCTCTGCTGCCCAAGCGCAAATTTGGTCACCATTTTACAGTACGTTTAGAAAGATCCGATGAGTTTACCATTTTGAGCAAAAATTAGGCAAGTTCTGTCTTGTGTTGTAGCAGATGAATCTTACAGCTCTCTGCTACAATTAAATTATCCATCCCCTCCTATTGGGAGACGAACAGATGCAAACCCCAGAGGCTCAGAAGCTCCCAAGGCTAATAATATTGTGTTTTTTCATGTCAGAAGTATTTTTGTGTTTGTCGAAAGATTCACTTGCACAGCCGTAACATCTCTCTCTGCCGTGCCTGGAACAGATGCGTGTGTTGTAATATAGACTGTGAACATTGACATCGCATGTGGTTCTCATTCGTCCCATTCATCTTTGAAGCTAATTGGTTCCATCCAGTTCAAATGTGTTTGGCTCGCCGCAGCTATTTGTACTTTCACTCTGGTTATAGCGCTAATGGTGTGATATATATAACATGAAATAAACTCTCGTGACTCCGAGCTCTGCAGAGACACATACGCAGCAGCTCGGCATTTTTTTTCAAGTTACGCCCCCAGACACTTCTTTCTTCTCCCTGCAAGTGCTCCGAAGCAGCCGGTGCCTCGGAGGAGGCCCCTCCGCGCGCGGCCGCGGGCCCCGCGTTGTGTCCGAGCGCGGGTCGGCACCGAGAGGAGCCCTTGGGCGCCGGGGGGACCCGATGGGTCTCGTTCGGCTGCTCCTGGTGCCTCCTTTCACCGTTCAGCTCCAGCGTTACCTCAAACCCATGCACGGCCCATCTACATGCTTAATATTTTGAATATAGTATATTAAATGTAGATAACACCAGAAATTTGCCACCGTGCTGTAGTGTAATGCGTAGCGGTTGGTACTCCTGTTGAATAGCCATGGATGAGAATCCTGTGTGTTTCTGTGGTTCTTCCCTCATCTTTTAGTCAGTTTGGCAGCGCACTCGTGGCCCTTCAGCATTTGCTTCTTGCCTTGCTCCCTCTGCGCTCTTGGATCTGCCTGACCCACATGGAAATTACAGGATCACTGCTCTGTTCCCCGGTTCTTGGCTGCTGGAGATGAGTCCTGAAGTACCAGGTTTTACAAGCAGAGTTACCACCTGGTTGTGTTCCCCACCAGACCTTGTAAATGCCTGTAAATGCTCCTGCCTTTGTCTCTGCTTCCCTGCAAGAGGCAAGATGATCCTCTTAAAAAAAATCTTCTGTTTTGAGCAGGAAGATTTTCTTTCACCTTCATAACAGCAGCTGCAGGTGTAACTGGCTTTTAATTTTATACTTTTGTGGCTGCTTTTTTGTTTGTTTGTTTTTTTCTATGTTTTTATGTTAAAAAGGTTTTGTTACACTGTCCTCAGCATGCACTGTGTTCTCCTCAGCACCAGCTTGGCATTTTTGTTACCAGGTTTGTTCCAGCTCTAGGCAGCCTTCTTCCTGGCCATTGCGGAAGAGGGAGGGATATTTTATTATTTCAGATGAAGTGGTTACTGAATTTCACTAGTTTTCTTTCTTTTCTTTATAGGTCCAAGTTCAGTTAAAAACAAGAAAAAGGGTAAGTTTCAGTTTTAATTTATTTTTCCTTTAATGACCCCTTTTTGTGCCTTTGTTGAACTGCTGCTCCTTGGTCGATGTGGATGGTGGAAGGAAGGCCGAGGGTTAGTGAGGGCCGAGGGTGTTTCTGAGCCGGGAGTACCTGGAGTTTGATGGCTGGACAGAAGTGAGTCTGGGGCCAGGGCCCATGGGCCGCCCTCTCCTGCTGATGTGTTGCATTCAGACAATGTTCATTTGCACAACATTAATTTCCTCTCACTCTTCTACTGCGGATCCATCTTTTTAGCAAACTCATCTGCAGGTTGGTGTCTCATTCAAACCTTCTGAGTTAAATACTCTCTGCATCCCACTTTGAGATACTTATTAAATTCAGCAGTAACAATTTATGTGTCCATTCAGAGTTTTGGTGGGGACACAGGTGCTTTGACTTTCCTGCCGTGTCCCTCAAGCTGCCTGGAATGTGTCAGCGTTTCTGCAAATGCTTATCAAGGAGCTGGGGTACTTGGCACGGAGACTTGTGTTTGGGTGATGGGATCTGGTAGGGTGTAAGCGTCTTCTCAGAACCACATTACACTACTGATTTCAAGCAAGCATAGTCTGATTGCCCAGTTTTTGCCCCTGAGAACAGTCCTATGCTCTTGTGTACATTTTTTAAACCTGCGGCATGCACATACAAAGTGTTATAGGTTGCAAGAATTACATAAACCGTGTGCAACTCATGGGCTCCCCCAGATGTGCTTTCTTTGAAACACATGGAGCTCACCACTGCTACGAGCCTTAACTTACCAAGGGGCTTGTGGAGATGTTTAAATGAAGCCCATGCCAGTGTCCAAGCCTATGCCACAAAGCACCCATACGTATATTTAATGTCAAGTTTATGCTTATTACTTGGGGCCCTATTGTACTTAATGCACATTTGGTTAAAAGAAAAGTTAGCTCTTTATCCGCTTTACGTTACGCTCTGTCACTCAGAAGAAATTTCCATGTGTCCCAGCATTTCACAGAGACCTCAGACTGCAATAATTGGGAGCAACAACCGGCAGCCGCTGAGCTTCTGTGTTGTTTGCATGTGTATACTACTTTAATAGCACATCGAATCATTTCTGCTCATTGTACACAACTCAAAACTTATGGTTGAGAAGTTGAGACAGGCTACGGTTAGAGACTTAGTTTATATTTACCCTCAAAGTAGCATAAAATTTTATGTTCTAAAAATTTGTCCTGACAAAACTCTGAAACCCTAAACCCATGTTAAATCAGCTGAATTAATAGCAAATGATGATTGCGGTATTCATAGCAATTTTGGAGGAGCAGAGGGATCTCAGTACTGGATTATATACAGCTGTAGTGCTGTATACAATTTTATAATTTTATGGTACTCAGTTGATTTTTTTTTTTTAAGAATTGTAGCTTATTGTTTGACATATAATGATTAAGGAAAATACATCGCTGCTGCCAAGTCTGAGTGTTGGCTTCTGCCTAGTACATTGGCTAAAGATAGACACTTGGCAAGGCAGGAGCCGGCTGGTGGAGACGCTCTCTCCAGAGCTGTTCTGTGGTGGTGCTGGTGCTTGCTGGGGACACTCCTAAACCTATGGAGATTTATGAGATACAGCAGCCCTCTCCATAGGAGCCTTGCGCACCACAGATGCTGTCGGCGTAACCAGAAGGACCAGCCTTGTGCCCCAAAAAGTGACTCCCGCAGAAATTTAGAGAGAATAAAAGGCAAGGCAGAAGCTTCTCATCCCCCACGTGGCCTGCTAAAAATGTGCGGAGAGTCTTAGCTTCCAAGCACGGTATTTGTTATACGGGATAAGTTAGCTGCGGACGGTCCCTTTTGTTAGGAGATGAATCATGAGCTTCACACTTACCATGCAACTGTGTTTTTTTGCCTTGTGACTTTAAGCAGGACTCCAGTAATAGAGAAAAGTAATTGAAATGACTTGAAGGAGTGGGAATGCATAGAAAATACGGGTCCCTGCTCAGCTTCAGAATTATGTGCAATTGTGTTACTGCTAAAATAGCAGCTAATTTAGTAGCAGAACAGAACTCTGAGACAGATTAGTTAAAACAGCTGTAATGTGTATCCCTCTTGGGAAGTAAAGCGTGGAGAGACGGCTGCAGGATCCTGACTTAATGCATATGATGCTTCATTAGGGTAATCTAGATTGAAGGGGTAATGAATGAAAAGAATTTAGTAAGTTCGCTTTAGGGGAAATAGGTAAGGATGTTAATTTGAGGTGGTAATTTCCAAGTGTGTCATTATCCTAAGGAAGAGGAGAGCTGCTGGAGTGGAAGGAGACTGGCTTGTTGCCAGCTCCAGTGTGAAGGCACCAATGTGTCCCCTTAAGTCCTACTCTTACCAATGCGTTCCCTTAAATCTTCTCTGCATTTCTGTAGGATGCCAGTATTCCTTCAGTATTGCTTTAATCACCTGTACTTGCTTTAAAGTAGTTTTCTGCTTTCAAAAAGTACATAATTGTGTTCTACCTTCTCTAGACATAGAAGCAAAGAGCAGGGTCTGAGATTAACAGTACGCAGGTAACTGACTCTCCATTCTCTGCCCGTTGCTTAAAGAAGTTGAGACACAAATGTCTTTGAGCTGCAGGCCAAATATGAGCATTTCATCATTGAGCGAAAGAAGAAGAAGCTGCCGGCTCCAGCAGACGCGCGGGAGGGACATGTGGCATTTGAAATAAGAGAGCACCCTGTCCCCAAGGGGACTTGGGCGGCCCTTGTTCATGGCCAACGGCCACGGTGCATCCAGGGGAGGGTTAGATCCTTCCAGTTCTGGGCTGACTAAAATAGAGGGGTTTTCTTTTGTAATTCTATTCCATGCACATTTAGTAGAGGAACAAGTACACAAATGTGTTTAGAAAAACCATTCCAGTGCTCTTTATCTCCTGTCCTAACTGTTGCTGTTGTCTGCAAAAGCTTTTTAGGTCTTTCCTACAGCTGCCTTTGCTTCAGCATTTGATGAAGTGATTCTACTGTTTATGAAGCTCTTTGGCATAAGAGCTGTTACAAAGTAGCAGCAAAACAAACAAACAGAAAAAAAAACCCACTACGTTAAATCAATAGAATTTCTATCAAGGAGATGGAAAATTAGGAAATGACAGGTAAAAAAACAGATCTCACTTTAGGCCATCATTCATGTGCTTTGTAAGACTCTTTACTTACATGGTTGCACTACTTGTTTTGCCTGGGAACTATCCCTTCTCCATGTTCATCCTCATGTTTGAATTATTAGTCCTTTCCTTATCCCTCCATCCAGAGCCCCAAATGATTGTTTAATTATTTGAAGGTGCTGTTTACTGTGGCCTCCAAATGCTTCATGCATGTTAATGAATGCAAGCGCCTTGCAATGGAAAAAGATGCAACTTGTCTTAACATTTATATAGCGTCCACAGGTTGAGGCACCCGGCCAACCTGGCTGGGCTGGGCTGGAGGGACCAGGGCTGGGAACAGGAGCCCAAGTCAGCTCTGAACTGCCCTCTGGAGGAGCCTCGCTCCCTCCGACACGCCGCGGACATGGAATGATGCGTTATCACATCCTCAGGGATTGTGTAATAATCCAGCGCATGCAGCTGGGCGATCAGATTACAGCTATTTTCCATCGTAACGTTGAGAATTTATGGAGCGTGTCATGTTGGCTTTTACTATTTCAACTTGAATTGCGTTGCGCTGTAGCTCGTTAATTCCTCACGTGAACTAATTAAACAGTATCGCAGCAAATGCTCCCAGAACACTCTGCTTGGAAAACCCCTCGGCTTAGCTGACCGCCTCCGAAGCGGATCCTTCTTTCCGCCTTTCAGGGGGCTGCGGCTCCGGACGCGGAGCAGCAGCTCCTGCCCATGCGAGGAGCGGGATTCCAGGCGAGCGCTGGGGTTCATCTGCAGGGCAGGGGTTTGTGGTCCCCGTTTGCGGCTCCACAGCGCAAAGGCAGCCTCGCACCGTGCGTGGTCCTTGTTCAAATACAGCTTTGTGGGCCAGAAGACAACCCGCTTCCATCCTGCCCGCAGCATGGTCCCCATGGCTCTGAGCCTTGGTGGCCCAGTTGGTTGGTGGCTTTTCCTCTTTGCGAGAAGCTAATGTTTGACCTTGTCTTTTCCAGGTAAAAAGGCCGGTCCTCCAGGGCCCAATGGTCCCCAGGGGCCTCCAGGCCCTCCTGGGCCCCAGGGCCCCCCCGGGATTCCCGGGATCCCCGGGATCCCTGGCACAACTGTCATGGGACCGCCCGGCCCTCCTGGCCCACCGGGCCCTCAGGGACCACCTGGACTGCAGGGCCCTTCAGGTAACATTTTTGATTCGCTTCTCCATGGGCAAATATCACGGTGGCACCGTTAATGCAAGAAAAAAAAAAACAGTAATAATAGAAAAGCACCACTGTGAAGCAAACTTAGCGTCCCAAGCAGGGCTTAATGCTGCAGTTCTGAACGTCCTGGGCAGGAAGCAAGTAAGGTGAGAAGGTTTCAAGCCCTCTGGCACCTCAGCTGGGCGCACTGGAGACCGAGCAGGTCCGAGGCACCGAGGGTGATGCAGTGACCATCTGATGAGGATGAAGGCAATGGGATGAAGCAGGGGCCTGGTTGGTGCACAATGCCAGGCGATTCCTGAGTCCGGGATGTGCGCGCAGCTTCTTACGGGGAAGCAGAACCTTTGGCGCTCTCCATCCAATAAAACAAACGCAGACCTGAGAGCTGCAGAGCCCTCATTACAGTTGAGCTTCATCCAAGCTTGGATTTCCGCAGTGCTGAAATCTTCTTATTTTGGTGTAGGAGCACAGCCTGCAAGCTGCCTCCTCTTTGCAATGCTTGGGCCTTTGCTTTAATTCCCTTTCACCTAAAACAACCCTAGGGCTCCAGGATCAGGAAGGTTGCTGCTTGACACAAGTGTTAAATGATCTCAGGAATCGCATTAAACAACTCAGTTTGCCTCCCATACAAGTCATGAAAATATATTTTTCTCCTGCAATTCCCCTTTCCAGTTTGCTTCGTGTTTCTTGTAGTTGTACCATATTGTTTCTCTATGGAATCATGTGGCCATTATTTTGTAAAAATCCCTCTATTTAATATGTCTTGAAAATACAGACTAATGGAAACTAACATTATTATTGTTTTGTTTTAAATATATATATATATATATATATATATATATATATATAAAAGCAATCCAATACTGATAAGCTTACTCAGAGATATCAGGGCTATTGCCCTGTAACTCGCATGACTCTTAACAATAAACCTTGCCTGACTTTCAGTTTGCATCTCAGAAATTGCCAGCGTGCAGGCCAGGAGCAGCAGGAGGTCCTTAGCGCTCCCGAGTGCTGCCCACAAGCTTCTCTTCGTTAACAGAGATTTGGCACTCCGAGAAAAGCGGTTTCAGCACGTAGCTTGAATGCAATAAATGACCTGAGTTACTGCGCTCTGCAGCTTGGAGGCTTTGCAGCCAAGAGTCTTTTTACCACTGCTGCTCAGGAAAAGAATTGTTTCAGTTTTTTCCTTCTGGTGGAAGCTGCTGGAATAAAGTTATGGGATTTTGATTAATCAGACAGAAATGCAGATTAATAGGAAAAACTTGATGAAGCTTTTCCTTATTTATTTTCTAACAGTAAGCTGTGCATTACACAGCTATTACTATCCTCCTTTCCTATTAAAATGGCTTTTAATGCTTACTAGGGGTGAGAGGAGGTTTATACATAGGAGTATTTACTGCAGCTCTTTCAAGCTTCATCTTCAATTATGTGAAATTGCATTTTGCAGGTGCCACAGACAAGGCAGGCTCCAGAGACATCCAGGTTGGTTGATCTTCTTTCAAGGGAAGTGTCAGCTTTGAGACTGTCTGAACTGTTGTATAAGTTACCAGTTATGTTTGCTAAGGTGTATTTGGTGGCATAGCACCGAAACCAAATCCCTTCCTGTATGTGCTAAACTTTAGCTACACAAAATGCCGGGCTGAGCTCCCCTTTCCCATTGCTTGGAGGAGGGAGTGTTCATCCATCTGGCGTGGAGTTCTCGTCCCTTTTGTGCTCCTTGAGCTCTGCCTTGTCGCTGACCATTGCCAGCTGCTCTGATCCCTTTTGCTGTTTACCCAAAGCAGTGCTAGCTGTAGAGCACTCTCATGCTTCTGTACTGGTCACCAGTTCTGTGGAGCAATGTCAGGTTACGGTAACATGATGCAGTGTTTCTGGCTCATCTTAAATCCCTCTAATTTTATTTGCAGCCAGCTGTGGTTCATCTCCAAGGCCAAGGCTCAGCAATTCAAGTGAAGAATGGTAAGGATCTCATAATATTGCTTCTTACCATAAAGAGTCCATCCTGCTCCCTTCGTTTCATAGTTTGGATTTAAGCTGCCCGTTCTCTAACACCAATCACTAGTTATCTAAATGGCCTGCTGTTGGCCTCACACTGTGCTAGTTCAATTCTCTGGTGCCCAGCCACCCTCAGACCAGTCTTCTGCTCACCCCTTTCTCCTATGCTCATATTTATCTTCAGTTTTTCTCTACTCTGTGCATCTTCCAGCATCTGCCCTGCTCTTTCTCAGCTTCTCCTTGACTCCCAGATGCATTGTCTGCCTCCTCAAACTTGTTATATCATCATTTTTCATCAGCCCCTTGACTCAGCTTTCTTTCACAATCTATTTTCTTCTATTTTAAGCCCTCAGTGTCTCCTCTTCCTGTCTCACCCCCATTTGAGTGCGTTATTCTCCATTTTTCCCAGTAATGTGTTTAGGGAAGAGCCCAGCTGTAGTGTGAGCTGAGAGGGAAGGCGGCCGTGAGCTGCTCCGGCCCTGCTGCCTCCTTGTCCTGTCACCGCCTCTAGTCCAGCCTCGGAGCTCGAGTCCTCTCAAGCCGTTTCGTATCCACAAGCTGTTTGCTGCTCTCTTCCTTCCTCCCCAGCTCCCTGCCCGGTTTCTGCTTCAGTTCCTGCTCTCCTTGCCAACAGCTGGGGCTCATTCATGAGCTGCTGCCTTTCTGCTCCGTGTCTCACTGAGAGGAGCTGGTTTCCTTATCCCTGCCCGGAGCCGGGCTGAGTCATCGCCGCTCCGCTCCCTTCCCTGCGCTCTCCTTCCTGGGAAAGGGCCGGGCAGCAGTGCAGACACCCCCGTTCCATACCTAGAGGAGCAGCAGGAGGGCTGGGGAGGCAGGAGCAGGGCCACGGGACTTGGATTCACTGACTCCTGCTCATAAACGGCACGAGGAGGATGGGCCAAGGCTTCTGCTCAGAGGCTGTTTGTCTTTTGGAGCAGTCTTGAGCTGGAAATGATGAGGAAAGTCTGCTTCGAGCTGAATTTCTTTACTATAATGGTAGGGACAAGCTCTGCAAAACAAAAAGGAAATCAGCTGTTTCTGCAAACAATACTAGGGAAAAGACACTGTGTTGCCTATTTTCAGAGAGTAATTATCCCAGTGTTATTGGGAACCTTCTATGTCTACAGAGCATACACCAAGAGCTCTCCAAGAGTGGGAATTGCCTGTGAGGGGCCTTCCCTGCTGCCAGGGAGCAGTCTGCTGCAGCCTGGCTTTCTTGGGCTCTACAAAATTGATGTTGTCCAGCCGAGTGTGAGCAGAAAGACAGCCTGGCTGGTTTGCAAAGAGGCACAAGTAGCAACGGAGGAGCAGAGGGCTGGGAGAAAAAGTTGGATTTGAAAAAAAACAGGCACCCACAGAGCACCTCTTGTTGTCAGCTCATATCCAAATGTGTCTCCTCATTGCTCTATATAGAGAATAACAGTCTACTAACATTGTCAGTTATTCCATTAGCTCCAGTGATAGAGATGTGGGTGTTGGGTCTACAAATCCCTAATCTGATTGAGGACTCTGCCCTGGATTAATGTTGTGTGTTGTGATGCAGTTTCATACTTTGTTGCTGTTTTAGTTATTTTTTAACCAAGGAAATGTAGTGACAAAGCATTTGTTAAAATAACACTAGTTACAGAGTCAAAAATGTAGAAGTCAAGGAATACCAGAATTAAAATTGATTGCGTAGCCCTAAATTCACCTCCGTGCACATGAATCCTGAGAGAGTTTAATCCCATGGTTGTGGGGACTTGTTTGTTTTTTCCATAATATTACTGTCTTTTTTTTGCTGCAAGGATTAGGCATGATCCTAGGACTGTATCCTAGCATTATTGTTGGGAACAGAACACCTTCCTGCCCAGCATCCAGGAGGTTAGGACAGGAGTTCCCCTCCTCATCCTCACTCTGCCGTGGTCCTCGAGGAAGTGTCTGCTGCTGCAGTCCTCAGCACATCATCTGCTGAACTGCTGCTTGGTGCAACCACTGGCCAGAGAGGCACGAAGGGGAGTGAGAAGTATGGAAGTTAGGGGAAGAGAAGGGATGGTCCCATGGCTGAGTTAAATCAGTTGAGGATCGTTCTTGCAGAAACCTGGTAGGATTCTGGTGCCATCCCTGCTACAGCTCCTTCCATGGTAGAGAGATGTTGCCAGTAACAAAACTCTTACAGGGGCCACAAGAGGTACCGTCTTTGGAAGGCACCTGGGGACTGATTTGCAAAAGTGCTGTTATAACCCTAGGCACTAGCTGCAGCAAAAGTCATTGATGATTTGTGACTGAACATAAAAAAAAAAGGCTGAAAATGAAACCCCTATCATGTCAGATGTGCCCTGAGCGAAATTCAGGTGTCGTGTTCAAACAGCGGGAAGTGATCATGTATCTAGAGCTAGCGTCATAGAAAGGAGTCAAAAACAAACCACCATCACTCTTTAATTCTGGGGTTTTCTTGCTACTAGGTTACGTGGCTATTGAACTCTAGTCGTTATCAGCCACTGTGTGTGCAATGTTGCAATGTGACTGTATTTCTGTGCTCCTGCGCTTTTCCTCCTGACGGGTACTGAGTGACTGCCGTTTTCTCATACTGAGATCTTTCAGGTGGAGTCCTCAATGACTGGTCTCGCATCACTATGAACCCCAAGGTGTTTAAGCTGCATGCCCGCAGTGGGGAGCTGGAGGTACTGGTGGACGGCACATACTTCATCTATAGTCAGGTAGAAGTGAGTACGGTCCTAGGCCTAACTCCTATTCTTGTGTTCCAATGGAAGCCTTGCATGAACCACGAGAGGGCTCCAGACAACTAGCAAATGCCAAGAACTTGTATGTATTTTAACCACTTCGTGCTCTAGGAGGTACGTGTCAGAGGACGATGTTAGAGTTTTGGAGTGCAAGGTCACACATTTCACCATGATACCAGCTGCAAGACATTAGTTACTGAAGCACATGCACAGACACAGAACCAAATTCCTTATGCCATCAGGGCCTCCTTTCCTGCTCCTTCCTGTTGTCTCTGCAGTCGCTCACCAGCAAAGCTAAACCGCGTTGCAGTTCAGTGCTGAACAAGAGTCCCAGCGGGAAACTGGGCTCTGCGCGTTCGAAGAGATGTAAAACCAAGACCCTGCCAACTTGTGATCATTAAGAAGACAAGTCACTCTCTGTAACTGTAGGACTCTTAGTCCAGGTGGTTGGCCAAGTTCCTGCCCAGGTAATTCCATCCCGTCTCCACCTTCTTCGTGTAACTTCACATTGACACGATGCTCCAGCAACCTCCTCGTGGAGCCCGATGGCTGCAGTAGGCAGTGCCAGCAGTGGATATACAGACCTGCTTATGTAAGAAGTGTTAAATAAAGCAGCGCTTTATTTAGTAGACAGCTAATTAAGACATAGTTTCCTCCCCCCATTGAAATACAATACAGGTGATAGGCAGTCATTTAATGCAGTGCTCCCTGTTTCCTGTACAGAGTCTCTCTGGACAAAGTTTCTGAGCTGCATGGAAAATAGGTTGGCTGGAGAGCTCCGGAGCTCTACCCAGGCCTTCCAGAGCGTGCAGGGTGTGGACAGAAACATCATCTAGATTCTGTGGAGCTCTACTCAGGCCTTCCAGAGCGTGCGGGGTGTCCCGTCACTGTGGACAGAAACATCATCTAGATTCTGGGGCAGATTTTGGAGCTTCTTACAAGAGGGTTTCCCTGTGAGAACTGTAATTAAGCAACTACTGCCTTGTTCCAGGCTTACAGTGTTATCTCCAGCTCATGGTTTACCTACATATAGTTAGTGGTCCCATTGGGACGGTACTGAGACAGATAGAACAGCTTGGGGAGGCCAGGTTAATCCGAGGCTTTTCCATGGAACTAATTTGGATGGGAATGGGAAAAATAACGCTACATGGACTGAAAGTAAATTATTTCCCTAAGCACATGGTGCGAATTGCCGACCATGCCATCATGTCTGTGAAGCGTTTTGTCTTTCGTAGTCCATCAAGGAAATGGAGAATCAGGCTTGTTTAGCTTCTGTAGTCACAGACTGTAAACTAAGAGCCAGCAGATGCATCCAAAATGACTAGTTTGGGCGTGTTTTTTTTTGTTGTTTTTTTTTTTTTTTTCCTATTGTGAAGAAGCAGATCCCTGAGACTTGCATCTCGATGTATAGCCTTTCTCATGCATCTTGCAGTTCTTCAGAATCAGTGTGTGGGATATGGTTAAGTAACTGAATCTGTATTTGGATCATGGGGACGTATGGACAAATATTGTAAGATCAGGACAATATTGTAAGATCACTTGCCTGCCAAGCTGGGGCAGTTGGGACAGTGTCTTCCCTGTAATAAGCTTATGCCTTTGCAAGCACCTCAAGTCCAATCCCCAAAAGGCAGCTCCCAGTGCATCTTAGGGCATTTTTGATGTCAACACTAAAGGAGGCTCATGAGACCCAGAAAGCGGGACTTGGAAGGTAAGTGAAAGAGAAAGTTAAAATTACTTGTTTGTGTAATGAATGCAAAGCTGTTTGTAGCAGATAGGTTTGTTTATGGGTTTTTGTAGCTAAGTCTTTATATTAACAATTATCTTGTGCAGCCAGTTTATAATATTTTTCTATAATAAACAGAATTAATGTGAGGATTCGTAGCTCAGCATTAGAGATCCTGGAGTCGTGGACACTCGCATGAAGTGGAATACAAGGTTTCGCTTTACGCAGTTGGCTTGAGGCTGCTCCTGCTTCAAATGAGTAGAGGTTAGAGGGGCCAAAGAGGTTGCCATTATCTCAGGATGCACTGAAAGGAATGTGGAATTGTTCCTGGTGCAAGAATACACCCCCTAATATCCTTTCTTCTTCCTGCTTCACATCAGGTATACTACATAAACTTCACAGATTTTGCCAGCTATGAGGTGGTGGTGGATGAAAAGCCCTTTCTGCAATGCACTCGGAGTATTGAGACCGGCAAGACCAACTTCAATACCTGCTATACGGCCGGGGTCTGCCTCCTCAAAGCCAGGCAGAAGATTGCTGTGAAAATGGTCCATGCTGACATCTCCATCAACATGAGCAAGCACACAACCTTCTTTGGGGCCATACGCCTAGGAGATGCACCCGCATCCTAGATGAACTTGGCATGTCCAAGGATACTCACAGAACTGCACAGTGCTGCTGTTCATAAGCGTATCAGTATTTCAGGGGGTTCTATAATCCGGCCATAAAGAAAACTGATCCAGAGCTATTTATTCCTATATGTGAATACAGGAAGCACAATGTCTTCTGTGACTCGCAGGAAGACTTGGATCAAAAAGCTAGCTGAAAAAGCCTTGTGAGGAAGAAAAAGGCTGTTGTGTCTGCCTTGTCTCAGTATTTCAAGTATTACTGCACTGATAATCTGCTCTGTGATCTTCACATGACGCTTGTTGAGAATGATGTGGGTCTCTGCTTTTATGTTGCACTAGCAAGAGCATCCCAGGCAGTAGCAGGAGAAGATAGAGCAACTTTGGCAAAAGTCTATCGAGGCTCTCCTGCTTCTGCACGCGAATGAAAGCAAGAAATGGGGGTTCTGTTTCTGTTTTTCTGCCTTCTCAGTTCTAACTGGAATGGCAACGTAGTGGGAAAGGAGGTGAATCAGACAGTCAGTGGTGTTTACATTCATCCTCAGGAGTGTGAGAAAAGGCAAAGTGCCTCTGTCTAGAGCTTGGAAGCGGGCTGCAAAAGCAGAAAGTTTGAGAGGAAAACGCATATGTAATAGAACAGGCTTAGCACGTATGAAACTGCCTCTACATTCCAGAAATTAAGAAGTTCCAAAGATAATGACAATTTCAGTCCCAAAGCCTCTGCTAGACCTGGTCCCTGCCGTCACCCCAGGGCTGTACCTTGCCCTACCGGGCTGCCTTAAAGTACTGCTGCTGTTACAGCGATTCGTGTCTTGGTTTTTGTCTTTTTAATTAATATTTTGCAAAGCGAAACACATTTCTACAGGCTTCACGGAGCCACGTAGAGCAGACACAAGTACTTGTGAAAACTCTCTGAAGAAGTTTGTCATGTTTAAGAATAAAATATTCAAACAGGAAATTTCTTTCTGTTTTAATAGCAACTGTCCTGCTTTTAGATGTGGTCTTTTTTCCCCCCTCCCTTCTTTTTTGGCACTCTTGTATCTAAGAGGCTCTAATAAGTGGTGATGGAGTCTCTAGCAAAAGTTTGTATTTAAAAAGTCTGGTCCAGCATGAAGTCACCACTTTTTCTTTTCTCTGAGCCCTGCTGAGTCTAGTCGTAACTCGATTTCTGGTGACTAATAGAAGAGCTGTGACCCTATTGTTTCTTTTGGCTTCTTGAGCAACTCTCTTCCATTACCTCCCCTCAGCTGGTGAGATCTAAAGCTATAAGATGTGCTGGAGCTGAGGAAGAGGCCGAAGCCCTAATTGCCCCTTTGTGTCATGCCTTGGTTTCGGCTCGATGGCTTTTGCTTTTTTTCCTATCTTTTTTAAGAAAAAGGGGATTTCTTTTTGGAGTGTTATCTTTTGAACTGGAAAGGGCAGCGGAATTCCAGCCAGCAGAGCGGATGCGAGTAGCTGGATGGGGAGCTGGATTCGGGGTGTCCTGAGGTGACACCCGGGCCCGCAGAGGAGGCTCCGCAGCCGTCGCCCGCAGGGTCCCCCCGCACGGAGCGTTTTTGGCGGCTTTGCTCTTCCCCTCCGTAGCTAGTGATCTCACTTGCCAAGTATTGCAGTTATTGGGAGATAAATATTTCTTGGGGGCACCCAGCTTTGGCTTCAGCCTTGCTATTCACAGGAGGCGTGCAGTTTATAAAATAACTGCATGAAAAATTGCCTGCTATTTCTTTTTCAATATGTTCTCCTCCTTTCTAGCCTTAACATGTTGGACTAGCAAGAGCCTCAGGGGCACTGAACTAGTCTTTGTGGTTTATTTCCTTTAAAATGGATTACGAAGGACATGTTCCTCTGACAAGAATGGATCGGGACAACTGTGTATAGTGAGAACAAGAAGCAAATCATTAACAGAATTGCTTTAGAATAGAGTCTGAACAGCAATACTTAGGGGCAGGCACAAATAATGAAATAGCCTGTGAGGGCACGATGGGTGCAGCTCGTGGCAGGGTCTGCGCTGCCCGGCTGACAGGCCTGGGAGCAAGAACAGGCACAGGGAGAATCCCGGGGTTCTCCAGGAAGCCCCTGTCAGGTTCCCTGCCCAGCGAGCGCCGGGGACGGCGCCGGGCAGAGCGGGGCCGCGATTCCCGCTCCGCGCCGTGGGACGGGTCCCTTTGTGGATGTGCTTTTCCCAGCGTTTGCGTTGCACCGAGGGGGAGCTCGGTGCAGCCTGGGCTCCGCGTATGGAGAGGAGCCTGGAGAAGCTGTGACTTCAGTGGCCTTCGGATGGATGTGGGAGCCGCGTTTTGGCTGGTACGAGCGAGTGGAGCGCCCGGCCTGTAGCACCTCTGGGGACTCTTTTATACTTGAAGCCCCTTAGTCTCTCCAGCAGCAAGTCCTCGTTAATGAAGAATTACCATGCAAGTGACCCAGGCCCTGGGGCAGCTTTGCAGGATCTTCCTGTGCGCCCTCATCTGTGGAGCCCCTCTGGTTTCCCTTAACCAGAGCAGAAAGACCCGGACGGTGCTCATGGGAGGATGGAAGATGCTTATGCAAGATTTTAAAAGCTCCAAGAACAGGACTGTGCTCCTCTGGTGTCTTTTATTTTTGAGGTCTATCAGTTTCTCATCTGGTTGACAAGAAGTGCATCACTATGGACACGTGTCTGCATGTCAGAGATGCTGGCACAGCCTCTGGTCCATAAGAACAGCTCCTGTGGTTGTCTTACGTGCCAGCCTTTCCTCTCCGGAGGGACCTGCTAGCTCTGCTCCTACCTACGTGCCTTAAACCTGCTGCTCAGCTTTTACCTGGACTCCAGCTGCAGATGTGTAGCAAGCAGCTAATCCGTGTAGAACAGCTGGTTCTAAACCCTGTTCAGATACAGTTTATAGGGAACCAGCTCTGCCAGGATGCTCGGAGCACTCGCAGGCGGGATGCTGGGGAGCATCTGCAGTAGGTGCTCTAGGTCCTGGCTCCCTGCCCGCCACCAAGTGCCCTCTGCTCCTCTGGGGACTTTCTCCTGCAGGGGAGCCCAGGCCAGGCCTTTCCTGCTCCCGCTGGGCCAGCTTGTCCATGGGATCCTCCTTCCCCAGCAGCGTGGGCAGCTGCAGAGGGGGCATCCCGGGCAGTGCCTGGAGCCGGGCACTGTCCCAAAGTGTCCCCCCTGTTCAGTGCAGTTACATTGTGCTGCTGCACCCGTGCACAGCCCTGACCCCCAGGGCCACGCGGTGCTGGTGCTCATCGTGGCCAGGGTGAGCGGAAAGCCCTTCCTCCGGCTCCCGAGCAAAAGCGGGAGGGGAGTTGTGGGAAAAATGCAACAGCTCCAAGCCTGTTACTCTGCCTGATCTGCACAGTGATGCACTGATGCTGTTTTGTGCTTCGACATCTCTATTCAAGACACTATCTGTATATAAAATATACATAATGTATATAAATTAGGATGTAAGTTTATGTAAATTGTCAATATTTTCTTTGCAAATAAAGCTTTTTCCTGATCTCCCGGAGTTCGTGGATGTTCCTCGCAGTGGCTGAGGCAGCGGGTGGACCGCGGGGAAGGGTGTCCCCTCTCTCCCATGCTCCATGGCGAGGAGGGCACTGCACACCTGAAACGCTCTCCAACGTGAGAGGGAGACGTGGCCTGGGACAAAATGGACCAACACGGACAGGAATTAATGCAGGAGCGCTCAGACACTTTCTGAGACAGCTCTTCTCTTTGCAGGGGTGATTCTTGACCTGCAGAATGTCCTTCTGCTTCTTGTCCTTCCCTGCCGCCGTGCTGGGCCCTTGTTCCTGCAGAGGGGAAGCTGCTCCAGGTCCGGCTCTCCCAGCCTTTCATTCCCTCTTCGGTGCTGCTGGGACACGCAGCTTCCAAGGCTCTGCATCCTCCAAAGGTAACCTGTGTCCTGGAGCCCTGCATGTTGCATAGACCAAGGAGATCTCACCCTATTCCTGACTCTCCATGGAGAACCTTTGGCTCCCCGCCGTGTCCTGCTTCCTCATCCATAGTGGCACAAGCTCCAGGACTGATGGGCTGCTAGGGCAGAGCTCCACGTTGCCGGCCGGGTGGTTGAGCTGGACCCACCTCACATGGAGGTGACCCAGAAGGAGAGGAAGCCCCAGGTTTCCAAGGAGGCAGAAGGTGGAGACGAAAACCAGGGGCCCTTTGCTTTCCTTTCATGCTTCTGCTGGAAGGTGGCTCGGGTGCCAGCATTGCTTAGGGAGCGCATCCTCTCACATCTGCAGTCCAGATCACGGGGACATCTTGGTAGTGCCGAGACCTCCAATACTGTCAGTATTTTTTTAAAATTCCTCATTATGGGAGTCTTTTTTAAACACTGCAAAATTCAATCTAGCACTTCCCACATTGCTGACAGAAAGCTTTTGTTCCAGTTCTAAACTAAGTCTGAGTTTGGGCAAAATCTGGTGTACACATTGATGCCATCGTTGGCCTGTTGCTCTTAGAGGGAGCATTAGGTACGTGATGACCAAGAGGACTGTCCCTTGGAGGAAACGGGTCGTAGAGACAAGAAGGGCACCTCGGCCAAGGACCCGCTTGGCACTTCCTCCTCGGGACAAACAAACAGGCGCAGGAATTTCTGCGGAAAGTCTGTGCAACTACAGCAAGTTGTTTTGTGCTTGTGTGACGTGACACAGCTGAACGGCAAGGAGACCCGGGCTGCAAGCAGGTCCCCCATCAGGGCATGGTCTTTGCCAGCCTGAAGAGCGTTTTAGGAAAGCGCCAGAATTGTGGCCTCCCTCCTCTTCTCTGTCGGGTTGGTCCTGCCTGGAGTCAGGCCCTGCTGCTTCGTCTGATTTATCCGGAGCCTCTGATCGGATTTATCCAGAGTCTGTGTGGCTGCCAGTTTCCTTTGGAGACATCCCAGAGGAGCCTCTGGGGAAACACAAGCACCTTTAGTAGAGCGCTCTCAAGAGATGTTTTTATAAAACATTTTCATCTGGAAAGTAGAGATCTGGGAACCATCCTGGAAGCCAGAAGTGTCAAGAAACACAGGAAAAAAAATCCTATCATCTTCAGGAGTCCCCATGGCGGGTGTCCTCATCTCCCTGTCCCGGGGGTCGTTACGCAGCTGATGTTCGCACAGGGCACCAAACTCCCCGTTTGTGCTCCCCTTCTTGCAGGAGCGAACCCCGCCGTGCCGCGGGCTGCGTCCAGCCCACGCGGAGGTGCCCGCGGCGCTGCCGAGCGCCCCGGTCCCCGCAGACGTGCGAGCCGCGCGCGCCGCCGACCCGTCCCGGCCGAGGGGCTTCACGGCCGCCCGGGGATTCTCCGCAGAAGTCCCTGCAGGGCTTGATTCTCATCAGGGACTTTCAGCTGATTTCACCGGCGCTGGCTGCTCTGGGGAGCCGTGTCCATGGAGGGGAGGCCGGCGGTCCCCATGCGTGTGCTCCGGCAGCTGCTTTTGGGGCCAAAGCAGCTGAATGACCCGGGTCCTCCCTGCCTCCTGCCGCGGTCAACGCTCCTTGGGTTGCTGGTGACAGAGGAGGGATGTCGGACGTGGAGGTTCATCCAGCGGTCGGCGAGACCTCGTGGTTTTCCAGCTGTACGGATGCGATATCCTCAGATTGCCTCTGGAAACAACAAACGTTTGTTGTCTCCCGGCTGCCTTGGCCCTGCGAGGGGGCCCTGCTCACGCTCACCGGCCGTAGTGGAGTTCGGCTTCAAAATTTCGTCCCCGACGTCCTGGCCTGGAGAGCAGACCCAGA